GTTTGTTACCGATGCTACACATGATTTGTCATCTCACTGTTACGATTTGATTAACAAAATAAATCTTTATTATCCTCTTCGTATCTAATTCTAGCTAACACTTGCGCCCGTTCTTACCACCTTGTTTCTCAAAATTTTACAAAAGCAACGAAAAAAAAGAAAAATCATAAAAATTCGTAGTATCCTCTAAAACAATTTCAGAAGGAGGGGCTTATTAGCAAATATGCCAGTAAGAAAAACAAAAACAAAAAAGTAAAGATAACGACTACCAAACTCCTTCCCGAAAAGAAAATATTCTTTAAAAAAAAAAAGTCGACTCTTTTTAAACCCTCGACCGCACAGCTAAGAAAACTCAAAACCCCACATCTCTCAAAAAATCGCCATGCAGCGCCAATCCTTGGGCTTCCCCGCGGAGCGAAGCCGACCACTGCGAATGGCGGGAGCCTCGCCGCGCGAGCACCGCGACCCCGGCGCAGGAGATCAAGGCGGAGAAGCCGATCGGTCGAGCTCCAGGTCGCCGAGATCCGTCCACTTGATCCCGGTCCTCACCGTCCTCTGCTTCCTCATCCTCTACCTCATCTCCTACGAGCCCTCTCCCCTAGGTCAGCTCCCCGATCCCTCAGATCTCGCCACGTGTGCTCTCACCTTCGCGCTCCCTGACTCTTTGCTTTATTTTTTTGTTGTTCGATCAGATTTGCCGAGGACGAGGGGGGTTGAGCGGATAATCGGCCAGGAAGGTAAATGCCGCTCCCGAATTTTTTTTTTCCTCAGATTTTTTAAAACTCGGCGAATTGCTCGAATAATCCGTGCCGGTTTCTTTCGCGATCTTGACCAGCGGCGATCGGTAGCTGTCGGCGGGCCTCGCTGTCGGCCGGCGTACGGACGAAGCGCGGGGCTGATGCGAGGGAGAAGGTTCAGATCCCGCGGCCGGCAGGCCTGGGGCGCCGTGAGTCGCGCGTGACGGACCCGCGCTTATCGATTTTCTCTCTGTGAATACGATATTCGATCCTGTGTTTTTGTTTATTATTATTTCCCCCCTTAATTTCATGTTCTTCGCTATCGTGCGCCACAGCTTATTGACCCCCTTACGTAAATACGAGACGACTCCCTTTTTTACCCCCCCTCCCCGCCTTGATTCCTAGAAATTGCTACCGTGAGGTTGTCTACGATGTTTTTTGTCCGAGCTTTGTTACAGGGATCCAAAATATGGGATCAATAGGGGTGACAAGTGATGTGTCACCCTTTAATTATTAGATAATATGTTGATCATCATTAATAATGAAACTCATTATCTAATAGAAGAGGACACCTCACTTGTTCTCTTTATTGATCCTATATTTTGGATACTGGGGAAATTTTTTTTTCTTCCTTTTCTGTTCGGTTTTGCTATTGTGCGCCGAGACAGTTGCCAGTTTAGATTATTATGTTTCTCGCGCGCCGCGGATTTTGCCGCTGCTTTACAGCTGTGAGTGCGGCCCCAGCGTAGGGGGGGGGGGGCGACAGCTGGCTTCTGGCGCTGCGAGCTCTTTAAACGGATCCGCCGACTGCTTGCGCGCGGAGATCGCACGGGGTATTACTGTGCATGGTGAGCTTCTGCCTGGTTTTTTTGCACATACCACCCTGTCATGTTTTGAATTGCAAAAAAGCGGGCCTGAACTTTACAACGGCTAGCGTGTGGGTGGTGGGCTCTATTTTCCTCCTTCTTCTTCTTCTTCTTCTTCTGTAGATTAGGATATAGCCAGGTGGGCAGGAGAGCAATTGATTGGGATGTTTGTGGGGAAAAGCTTAATAGGGAAGCAATTGGTCTTTATTGGATAAAGTTTATCTTGTAACAAAATAATAATTGACCTAAAAGGCATACAACGATAAGGAAGAGCATAATATATAGTGTGGTGGAGTGTACTAGAAAAGCTACGTAGGGTAACCTGTTTAGGGGGCGTTTGGTTGCACAATTTTATAAAAAAGTTTTCTCAAAATTGCCTGACAAATGGTAATTCTGTAATTAAAAAGTTTCTGTAGATTTTTGTAAACTGTGTTTGGTTCAAAAAAATTTACAGAAATATTTTCTGTAAAGTACAAAAAAAATCAAAATTTACATAAATCAATTTTCTCTCAAAATGGGCGAAAATCACTCAGAAATCTAACATCACATTGACACTTTTCTACATTGACACTTTTCTATAAATTTAGGGGGTATTTGGTTCAATTTCTACAAATTATAGAAAATATTGCTATTTTCTATAAAGTTATGAGTTATTTTCTTGTTTTGAACCAAACAAGCAAAGTAAAAAAAAAACAAAAAAATTGGTACTTTTTAACTTCTCAAAACTTTTTATTTGGGTGAAAATATTTCTTATAATTTGTAGAAATTGAACCAAACACCCCCCTTAGTTTCGATATGTTTATATCAAAACTTTTTGGAAGAGGTTAAATTACTCCTCAACAAGGTAAATAGTAAAAATACAGTGACAACCACCAGGCATTTTTTTTGCCCAAAACACCCTATAGGTTCTTTGTTATAATTTTTTGCAGACCAATCAAAGTGGAGCACAAAGGCATTTTATCCCGACTACCTACCGACAATTATTGGATTGAAAAACTATTATCTTTCTTTCGAAAGATAAAAAAGAAAATTATTATATCCAGTGCTTATCTCTTCCTTTGTTTTTGGTGATGGATCTTTTATTTTGGGGACCCCTCATTTATTTTGGGACCATCTCGCGGTGGATCAACCTCGAGATCACAGCGCACATTTTCCGAACAAAATAAATGGGGGGTGATGATAAATCTTTTGTTTTTTCAAATTGACACTTCACCAACTAGAATGTATGAAGCATTAAGATCATACACGAAAACTTTGTTAAATAGGACCGGTTTTGATTATTCTTGAGTTATGAAAAGGACCTCACAATCTTCTAAATTGACCAACATAAAAATATTTTTAAATAGAGAGGGATTTACTTGAGTTATAAATAATGAGCTCGAGCGCTGGGTCCTGAGCTCGTCATTAGCAACGTACCATTTGCAAGTTGGTCCGCCACCGCTGCTTTCATTTAGTCCCACATCGTGTGCTGGAGAGAAGAAGCCCAGGCTCCCGGCTTCCATAAAATGAGCTTCTCATCTAACGAGAGAGCTCACGCAGCTGCGTGGTTAGCGCAGAGGGAGCTATTCTTTGGCCTTTTACTAGTGTGCACTCCGTGCAAAGCACTGACTTTCTATTTTTTTAAAGCATATATATACATTTAATTTGATTATTGTATACTTAAAATTAGATTTCATATTCATTACTCTATACTTAGAGAAAGATCTAAGTTTTAATATATTTGATTTAGAAATCAAATCTACTCTTCTATATTTAAGAAAGATTTAAGTTTTAATATATTTGATTTGCTTTTACCGTGTATGACACAGTAAATTACTGTAGGATGAATTGAATAGTAACTCAAAGTATAGAGAAGCAGATTTAATTTGCTGTTTACACTATAAGGTTGTAGCATGAACATCAACTTTAAGAGTAGAAGACAAAATTTGATTTACTGTTTACGCTATATTATTTACTGTGACATGAACAATAATTCATTGGATTCTCCTTTTAAGTATGGAGGAGTAGATACTGTGTGCTCTCCACTCTTTTTAGAGGGTGGTCTTTTTTAAACATAGGGGCCCCAACAATCAAGATATTGATAACATACAGTTCGCAACTAGAATCTATTGTGTTTGTCCTTAGGGGTGCACACCGTTCGATAATATCATACCAAATCGATACGATGCTTACTATATTTGTGTATAATACTTATTATATATGTATCTATTTATCAATTAAGATATTGATAAACTGCTTATCATATGATGATAAGCTGCCCATCAATTTTGGATATGGTTACAAATTACCAAGAGCTTACCAATTTCGAATATGGATACAAATTACCAAATCTCATATATGGATAAGGGTAACTGGGTAAGCCTCCATAAAGAAAATTTGTAACTACAACGCCAAAATTGGATACAAATACTTAAATGCATGCGGGTTTATAAATATATATACATGAGGTTACAGAACGGATATGAGAAAGCTTAGGCAATATTGGAAAAAAATAAAATTCATACGATACAAGAGAGCTCATTATATGTTCATTATATCTGAAAAGCTAAAATTATATTCTTTGATCATCAAAATAAGCCTCAAATCCATTAATCTATGGATTAAGACTGTTGCAACTGTATGACCAATATACAGTCAGATACTTCAGATACAGAAATTTTACTATATAACCATACCTCATCGGATATAGATTTTAGCACATATCCACATACTAACGCGTACATACACAAAAAATTTTGTGCACCTCTAGTTTGTCCTAATTGGTCAAATTAATTTATTCCATAAATTGCTTCTTATCTGATGTGTTATTGGAGTTTTTTATGACCTCACCTGACAATTTATTTATCTAAAATAAAAGGGTCCAGCTTTATTTTTTTTAAGAGTGATGTTAGGGGCACACCCCAAACCACACCTCCAACCACACCTCCCCTCTCATTCGCTACAGTACTCCGGGCCCCACATGAGGTTTTAAATTTTAAAAACTCATGTGGGGCCCGGAGTACTGTAGCGAATGAGAGGGGGAGGTGTGGTTAGAGGTGTGACTTGGGGTGTGCCCCTAACATTTCTATTTTTTTAAAGAACCTAACACTAACAATCTTTAAGTTTTACAAATAATTAAATTAATAGAGGCATACGGAGCGAGGTACAAGAGGATGAGCTAGATAAATGCCAGAGAAAAAGATGGGCACAGAGTAGAAAATTCGTTAAAAGAAAACAGTATATAAACTATCTGAGAGCTTAATTCTCACATATAATATGAAGTTGAAGGACCATTCACTCTCGACACCGTGATAAACTGTTAATCGTAAATTCCAGCGATGATTGTAAAAAGTTTTATCGGAATTGGATCATTTATTTATCATCTAATTGGAGAGGATCCGGATCCAGTTTGTCAGGGTAAACAAAATTAACAAAACAAAATTAACAACATACTAAGTACATGTCTCAATGTTAGAAAATTCAAAGCGTCAAGATACCTCGCGAATCATCAGCACATCCAGAAAAAGTGAACAAATATTAAGGCTCACGTGTGACAAAATTTTACATACGCTTATCAGTTCTATATGAACTTTTACAGTATCAAACCCTTTGCAGCCCGCTTTCAGAGGTTCACTTTAAATGGACCTGAGCAAATTCTTCCTCCATTCGTTTACGCTGCGTTTCTTCAGCCACAGCCTTTTCTTTAGCGTTCGACCCCACGTCGCTGGCAGCCTTAGAAACCTTGCTGAAAGCACCAGTCGCCCACGATGCTCCGGTGAATACGTACCTACAACAATAACAAAACCTTTATCAGAAATGTTCGGGATTGGCTACATGAATTATCCTCTTCCGCTCGATTTTTAAGTCTATTTCCTGATCTAAGTTGGCCGGTATCAAAAGTTCCTAACCAAGTTCTCTTTGGACCATTCTTTTGCCATTAATTATAGGGCTGATAGCGGATAGACCCCCGGTACTATAACCAATTTGAACTTACTACCCCCGTAGTTCTATTGTTGCAGATTAGCCCCTTGAGTGGATCTTTTTGACCCTTTTCAGGAGTCTATCTGCTACAATAGAACTCTTTGGGAGGGTCAATCTACAACTCTAGAACTACTTGGGTAGTAAGTTCAATTTGGCGGTAGTACAACGGGTCTACCCTCAGTAACCTTAATTATAACACCATCACTTCTCCTGGTTGGTACATTCACTAGCCTCTGGCGAACGCATACCTATTCTTCATTATAGCAGAACCAGCGCTGCTCATCTTCTGCTCCGCAGCAGCAAACGCAGACTTAGTCTTTTCCGAGACCTGAAACTTTTGATCCATTTCCTTGGCTTTGTTGCCAACTGCTGAAGTGCCCGTTGTTACTTTTTCTGATAACCCGATCATTTTGTCGAAAGAAGAGATTTTCGAGGAGGCGGTGGATGTGAGCTGGTGCTTTTGGTCGAAGGATTTGGCTTTGTTGATGGTGTCTTTGCCTAGGATGAAGCCCTTGGCGAGCATGCTGGAGACGACTTCTTCGGCTTTTTGGATGGGGGTTTCAGTGTTTTTAGTTGGTTGGGAGTCGTTATACTGCGACAGGGTGGAGAGCTTTGATTAATTTTTGAAATGATATATGATGGATAAGAAAATTTCTGAAGGATAGAGGGTAACATTTACCAAAGGGGGGAGTATGGCTGATGGAGGCAGCTGGTATTCAGGGGCCGGTGTAATTATGACGTCTAGATCAACTATTGTTGCTCCCTATGCCATAAAAAAGAAATTGTTATGTTAGCTAAAGAATATAAATGTAGCCTGGTTATTAGAAACTAATAACTAAGCTCTCGATATATCCATATATCATAAAGAACAAACCGATTTCATTACCCCCATAAAGTATTGGTGAACTCTCAAGTTGCCTCCTAAAGTATCAATCTGCATATTTCTCCCCTTAAACTATGTGTATCGTCTAACATAATTAAAAAATAATTTTTAGTTTGAGGAAAAAGGAGATAAACTGATAAAAACCGATGAAAAAATACAAATAAAACAATGTTACCTCATTAATCTATTAAATATTTGACCAACAACTCATCAAATGACCACATTGAAAATATAAACATAGTTTGAGGGCCAAAATAGGCAAATTGATACTTTAAGGAGCAACATGAGAGTCCACTAATAATTTAATGCCTATCATAAATTTTAGCAAATAATTGCCAGGATGATATATGGTTTTCCTACTAAAAATTAGATTACAAACAATGAGAAGTCTTTCCATATACCAGCCATCTAAATGTTATCTCATATAGTAATGGACAGTAAATTTTAGAAACTAAGTGGTTTCAGACATACAAATGATATATGGATCATGAACAGAGGGTTTTGGGAAATTAACATATACCGAAAGAAGAAGGGCAGTTTCTGCTCCCTGTGTATCTTTAAATGTGACAAATGCTATTTGTGACCACTCATCCCCACTGTCAATTATTAAAATAAGCTTTAGTATGCAAGAGGATATACATGGAACAAAAAAAAAATCAGTTTGAATAAAACCTTTGCATTTCGACATATTCAATATCACCAGAGAAGGAAAAGAACTCCTTGATGTTTTGTTCAGTAGCACTGAGGGAAACATTACTGACTTTCACTGTCCTTACCTGCAAATTTTTGAAAGATTAACCGAGTCTAGGAAAATTGTATATACCTACTTCCAGAGAAGACGTGCACAGATTTATGCACTACAAATTAGCTGATGTTTTATTTTGGATTCATATCATATTTGAGCAATAACAACCTTAAGAAAATCAAGACGCAATATATTTATACAAGGGAAATGAACGTTCTGTAATAAATCCAAGCTTGTGACACTTCATACGTATTTTCAATCTGAGGTGTTACAATCAGATAAGGCGAGATGCATAGTAATATCAAGCAGTATCTTAATAGGTGATTCTGCAACCAACTATCAACATGACATCAAGCCTCATTTTGCTAACTGAAATCCTATTTCAGGGAAGTCCAGAGGTAGGACGAGCTTGGCATAAAAGTTATAAGATGAACTGCCACATAAGACGTCCATCTTCACAATCTAAACACATGTAATTAAGAAAAGAAAAGACTCTCCCTACATGTCTCTAGCCCACCTGGGGTATTTAAAAACCACTCAGACTAGAGATAAATAGCGGTAAGGCCTGCTTCATAACACTGCGGTGCGAACTAAAGATAAAGATAATATTCCTGTGTGGAATTAAATTTGCATATGCGATGCATAGAGAAGAGCACGATCAGTAGCGGGACAACTGGTGGAAACAAAAACCTCCTCATTCTGCTAGCCATGCTGCTAAATTTGTATAATAAACGTGGTACATGCAAAACAAGTTGACATAATCAACACGTGAGATAGCAGCTTAAACATTAAGACTAATGGCGCGATTGACCATGCTCTACCAGACCTATTCAGGATGATAAACCACATAACTTGATAAATCAACATACTAATTAATGACTAAATATCCTTGCAAGATAGTGATTGGAGTTGTTATATTCTAAGAATTGCTAATATAGCATGTAGGCCACAAATATATATGTAGATGAGAGTAAATCTTAAAATGTAACACTTAGAAAGATACTGGCAGTAACATCTACTAAATTTAGCATTACCCTAGTAACTACCACAGTAAAAGTTAAATTCAGAACAAGAAAAGCAACAGGATGGGAAGAAACAAAGATACGGATTAATTAAGCCATTTACATGTAGATGTAGATAGGGTTAATTTGTCCAATATGATTTGTGATAAAAGGAAAATTGACATTAACCATCCAGTAGAGCATGGTGAAGAAATGTATGGTTAGACATTAGTATTATCAAAGACGTTAAATCTCCTATCAATGATAATAAGTACATATATGTACCATGTCGTGATGAAACTCAATGGAAAGAAGACAGGCAGAAAATTTTGATCCAATCAGAGGCATATGTTACACATATAACAGGACCTCTGGGATGATTTTTCTCTGCGGGTGCAAGTAGTTTGCATTATAATTTCACGACCATTATTCTTGCCCAACACTCAACCTTGAATGATTATGGCATATTCCAAGTTGAGGCACAGCTATTCCTAGGTCGGATAAGGTTACCTAACATGTAATGCTTGGAAATTTTGAGAATAAGTATAGTATTGTGAAGAAATTGTTGGAAGATGCATGACAGTCGGAGTACAGGTAATGCAGGAGCAAATTTTGAAGTCAATACTTAATCCAAGACTTTTCATATTCTCTGTAAAATGAAAAAAGTTTCTTCTCTTTCACAGAGATCGTATGCAGAATCCTCATATTTTCCGATCTAGAGCTGATTTTTATCATTTTCCCTTCAATGATACAGGTAAAGCGAGCTAACTTTTAATTTGTACCCAAAGTTTAATGAAGACTGAAGACTGCCACATACATAGATATATGCACATGAAGATTCAAGAAGGAAAAGTCTTGAATAGTTCTAGGTTTCGATTGTGAACAGGTTACTAACAGTTGAGATAACCAGAAATGTTCCTTCCAAATGAGGTTTTGTCTCTTTCTGTGTGTCTGTTTCTTTTGAGGGAGGAGAGGGGTGGGGTGGGGGGGTGGGGT